TATTCCCTTGCCTTAGCTATGGTGTGAACTATAAATTGTCTCGACTTTTAGACTCTTATCTGAACGTGAGGTGAAACACTTTGGGTCAACGTGCAACAATATTTGAATAATCTTTGAGGCCGAGCACTGGGCAAACAGTGAAGCGTGCCCAAGATGCAGCTGCAAGCGTCTAAACACTAGACTACAAAACTGAGATATGGCTGAGAAATCAAAACAAATCCAGGCCAATAACAATAACAATAATAATAATCATCATAATTAAAGTGGCATAAAAATCAGAATATTGCTACCATATACAACAATATTCATTGTTATGGTTGGGCATATAATTTAGTAGCGATATTTTTAGGGCAATATTCTGTTGACTAAAAGAAATATTTCATTTAGTTTTTTTTGCTTTGCTTCTTTTTTTATAATTATTGCTACTTTATTGTATTGTTAAGCGATTAACGGGCATTGCGCTCACAGTTTTATATATAGGTATAACATATATAGAAGCTTCAGGGGACTGCAAATCTTGGCTATAAAAAGAGAAACGTTTCTCATTAAGCCAGACACGTTTCTAAATATTTACGTCAATCAGTGGCATTATGTGTATGGATTACTCACAAACCAAAATAAAAATATTTGTGTGCCGTACAACGCGTCGTATGTGCTATATTTTGATTGACAATCGGCTTTAAATGTCGCTGCCAAAGCTTAGCGAACCAGAGCGACACATTTTGTTGTTTATGACAAAAGGAAATGTTTAGACGGGAAGACAGTTTTTAAAATAATTTTTCGACATATTTTTAATACATATTTTATATGTGCTTAAATGATTCAGTGATATTTGTTTAAACAAATAAAAGAGTCGACTGATTAGAATTCTTGTAAGTTGATAGTGAAATAATTGAATGGACAGAATTGGGGATCTATCAGAATAAAATAGAACATATACTTATATATACATATAGATTGGAAAAGAGCCATGAGAACTCTTAAGTTTTTTGGCATGACAAAATAAGACTATAAAATTGATTTAGTATATATATTTTTATGTATAAAAATAAATAAATATATACTATGTTTTATACGTATTTTTATATATGTATATTTTATATTAAATTATATTATGTATATAGATTAAATATATACATTTTTTTTAATTCATAGAAGCTAATCATTATTATTATTCATTATTTTATCATAAATTTCTCCCATTCCCATCCTTTTTCTCTGTCATTTATGAGCTTCAGATTTTATAGATCATAAGATTTTATAGATTTGATTTTTCATAATTCAACCATCATTTTTAAACCCTTTCTTTGTCTAGCTAAAATTTATAAGTCACCCAAATCCAAGGCGCCTCAACGCACATCACAATACACAGTAAACAATCTATATATATATATATATAAATGTATATATATACATATAAATATCTAGATACACATATCTAAATATGTATCGTAACTCAATATTCAACAACTTATAGAACACATATAGTACATGTGTATATATGACCAGGGCTTTCCAGCTACTTAGCAGCAACAGCAACAATTTTTTTTAGTTATTACCAATATCAATGCCAATACAAATAATGGCTCACAATATTTAAACAACTAAGTCCAAAGCAAATGGAGCTGTTAACAAGTCACAAGCGAAAGACAGAGAAAAAGCAAGGGAGTGTGTGTGTTAGAGCGAGAGAGAGTGTGTGTGTGTGTGTTAATCCTGGCATGTCAATCATGCATAGCGTTTGTCAGACGCAATGTCGCTCTGCGCATATAGTTAGATCATCATTATGATCATCATTACGATGATGAACTGGGCTAATCAAGCAGCGGACTTCATTTTGACACATGCCCCCGGCCACAGCCACACAACGTTGTAGGCAATGCGCACAAAAACCAAATATTGATAGCACTGATAACGATCGAACATCGACAACGACATCGACATCGACTTCGAATTCGAGTTGGACAGGCGACAGACGACAGTCGACACGACAACGAATACCGACTGCAACCTAAGCTAGTGGCCATTTTTAATGGCTTATCATGCAACCAAATAACGCAAGTTTATATATAGTATCTAGTAAACACATACGCCTCTAGGCGTTCACATACACTTAGCGCAAAACTAACTGACCAAATTTTTGTCTATCTCAAACTCTGAACAAAATAGTACATCATAGTGCGTATATGTATCATATATCTTAAATACATGTCAATACACATAGAGAAATATTATGAAGTAAATGCTTTTTTAAGTACTATTTTTTTCTATTTTTGTTTACAGTAAAATACAGCTTAAATTTGAATTCCGAAGATGTTCATTAAATGTCATTAATATCAGATGTCATTAAACAATAGGAAATTCTACTGAATGATTCAAGAACTTTACAGAAGATGACGTATTTCGCATTTTCAACAGAGAATTTTGAAAAAATTAATTATTTTTTCCTTACAAGATCAGGTACAATACAAATTTAAAAAGGATATCATAAATATATATTATACCTTAATTTATTTCTCCTCAATTTATTTTTATCCATCTGCTAAATCTTTTATTTTATATAAACTAAAATCTTCTCACTATTCAAGTGACTTTAATTTGCTTTGAAAATTTCTTACAGTGCAACATAATTTCAAATAGTTTTTTTGGGATTTTTTTTTTTTGGTTTGACGACATTGGGGCTACAAAAAATTATGCTATGGCATATATTGTATGTGCCCTATAGATAGCTTTCCCCTCTCTGTCTATCCCTCTCTTTCTCTCACTTCCCTCCTCCACTCTTTCTCTGCTGGAAACGTATATAAATTTTGTGCCTATTGACATATTAAATCTCAAAGTGTCATGTGGCATTAAGTTTTAGGCACAGTTCCAATCCCACCTGGTGTAGCCTAAAGACATGTTAAAACACACTCAGCCCCAGTTTATGGACAACTAGCTTAACCTAGCCAATGTCAGCTTATCTATGTGTCAAGTTAAGTTAAAGTTTCTTCCTGAATGTTATGGACATTCGACTAATTCATTTTTTTTTAATAATGATTGCAAAGATTTGGCCATAAATGTCGCTATTTAGTTTTTATTGGAAGTAATACTAATTTTTATTGGTTTATTGGCTATATTGTTTTAATCAATACCCCGTTCTTATCGGCCCCATAACCAGGCTACAGATAAAGCACACGTTTTGATACTTCATATCAGCCAAAAAAATATATATAGAAGATTATTGTTGAAGCAACATAGAAACCCCATCGAACGTACCCATCGGCGACCATTGACAGGCGGTCGTTGATTTCACAAAGGTGTTTCATTCTATAGAAACACACCTGCCCTCACCGCCTCGCCCTTACAGCCTACCTGCCCTGTGCTAATCTAATCGAAAACCCCGCCTCAGCTATTAAAACAAAAATTCAACCAACAACAACAACAGCAGCAGCAACAATTGCTGAAGAACTTTATGGCCACACCCAATAATCAAGTGCACAAAGTCACGTATACCCTATAGGTATGCAAGCAGACAGGGTATCATTTTGCCTGGCATGGCGCTAAGCTGCAACATTTTTTCGTATTGTTTATTATTTATATGAATAATAAATAAAAATGCATAATCTTAATTTGTCATCTTGACCCGTTAAAGGATTACAAATAACAACGGGCCGGCGGGCACCAATAAACGTTAATTGCATACCAACCGATTTTATGGGCTTAATGGATATCGTCGATATCGAACGTCGTCAACTTTTGAAACGCAGTGGCCATAAATCGTAAGCGCTTGCGCACGTGTTTTGGCATGAGTGTGTTTGCTTGTGGGTCTGTAAAATTGTGTTCGTTTATGCGTTTGTATGTGTGTGTGCATAGGCATTTGCATTGCTGTAAATGTTAAATGTCATGCTGTTGGCTGCTGTTATGCAAAGCATAAAAATCGAAGAAGTTTTCGAAACAAAACAAAACAAAAGTATATGAAGAGCAAAGGCTAAACCTTGAGCTTTTGAGAGTTATTCAGAGAGCAGTGCGCAATGAGCCTGTATTGCCATATCTTAGTAAAAGAGCTATAAGTATTCAAAGCTTCTAAGCATCAGTTATGTTAAAAGTTTTAACTCAATTTCATACCTATTTGAAACACTTTTCAAGCTGCTAATTGCTGTGAGAGCAGCTTGCCATCACATCTATTTGCATTTTTCATTAGAATCTGGAGAATTGATCGAAACCCATTGAATTTTTTTTCTTTTATAGTTTAATTGATTTACGACACAAAATTAGTCAACAGAGTCGACAAGTTTTTTTTTCAGGCTGCGACCGTTGAGCCTGGGGCACATAAATCAAGGCGGTGTGCGCCGTAAAATGAAGACAAACATTTGATTTTTATGAGCTAATGGCCCTTGGAGGCGCACTCAAATGCAAGCAAATTGCTTACGGTTTGTTATAAAATTATGTTTTCTCCTTCTCCTTCTTTCTTTTTAAAGCGCGAACAGCACGAGCTTTGCCCAAAAGCTGTTTGGAAGACAATGAGAGGGAACTGTCTTTGCGATCTGTCGTTGCGGATGCGGGATAAACCCAGAAACTGATGACTAACTACGAATTCGAATTCGAATTCGAAACAATGCGAATTCCGTTGAGAATGTACTCAAGAAGGAGTAAGCATAAAGCAATTAGAGTCAAATTTTAAGAGCGAGCTTTATCTGCCGTTAATTCAATTATCCATTCTTAAGTACACTGCAGACAAAATGTTTGTATATTTCAGCAACAAAAATAAATGACTCAATATGAAAATTATGAAATAAAATTGAATTAAAGCTAAGTGTGAAGACAGTGTCGTCAACATTTCCATACGCATGTATTGAAACTGACGAATACCAAGTTATATACGAATGGAACAGTACTCACAACAAAAGGGAGCCAATCAAAAACAAGAGTACAGCTTTATGCCATTAACTCTCTTAATGACACTGCATGCTAAATGTTAGTATACATGTACATATCTGTTTATGTATATATGGATGTGAACTTACCAGGTTGGGGTTGCGAGGGATATGAAGGCTTCTTCATCCATTCGTAATATTGCGTCTTCGCTGGCGAAGCACGATGGTTATTGTTGGCCGTAATGCTGTTGTTGTTGTTGTTGTTGTGCGTAGAGGGGCTGTTATTGTTGTTGCTGCTGCTCAAGTGATGGGCCAAATGATGCGGCGATGAGGCAGAGGTGGGTGCACCTGGACTGGAAATTTCGCTGCCCGAAACGGTGATCGGCGGCGAAGGCAAGCCCTCGGCAATATGTTGATGTTGTTGTTGTTGCTGCTGCTGTTGTTGTTGTTGCTGTTGTTGCGCATGGACGGCCGCTTCGTTGGGCTCGTTTAGCTGCGTGACCCCAACAGCTGGAGCAGAGCTGCTACTCCCAGAACTGGCAGAGCTGCTTGAACCGCCGCTGGGCAATCCACTGTTAATGTGCGGATGATGCTGTTGCATCAGCGGATGGGCTACATTTTGTGCGAAGTTCTCACCCGTCGCTGTCGTTGAATTGGAGGCGGGCGAATGCCATTCGCTCGCCGCAGCCGCCGCCGAGTGAAACATGTGCGGATTATAATACATTTGATGGGCGGCATGATGTGCGGCATGCGGCGAGTCCACTTCGCCAAGAAACTGATGATTGGGCGGCGTATGATAGTTGGTTGTCCAATTCCAGGGCTGGCCCGCTGCAGCCGCCGTGGCGTAGGCCAGATTGGCGTTGTGCTTTTGCGAATAGGGCAGCGAATTGTAATAGTGAGAAACCATTTTGAGGTTAGGGCGCGTAAGCTGTTTGTTGTTTGCGATGTTAATATTTATTTACGAAATATAATTGGTTCTTGGTATTTTTGCCAGTTCTGTCTTTTAAGCGCGCTTCGTCTCTTTTTATAAGCACATTTTGCGATCGTTCATACTAAATTTCTATTTTACAAAACTTCTTTGCGCTTCCTTTTTGTGCGCTCTTCTGCACACACTCACGCATTCACGTTTGTGTAGTTTCCTTCTCTTTATTGGTGTAGGTTCAATCTATCGATTAACTCTTTACTTGGTATTTTTTGCAATTTAAATATCGCTTCAAGAACACGCGTAAATTATTTTTTTTTAATACAATTTCTACTACGTTTTTGTCAACTGCCGTTGCGTTTGGCCTGTTGCGACGTTAACCGCAGTCGAATACGTACTGAAAGCAACGAACGCGATTATAGATAAAAACAAACCAAGAAACGAAAAGGGAATCGCGGCAGCGCGCAACCGCTGTCTACTCTAGTCATCTCGCTCGCACAACCGCCAACCAGCTTATGTGGGCTGTTTTTTAACCCTCATTTCCGTTGCGTGTTTGAAATTCAAGATGGCTTATGTGTTGCCTTGTTGCTCGCTCTAACTAACCAGCGAACAACCCTCTCGCTTGCGCATACGTCATGGCTGGCCGTACAGGCTCCGCCCACACACACACATACACCTGGACCAGGTAACAAGACGGTGGGCGTATAGTCAAAGAAAAAACCCCTTTTTCCTTTACAACTGCTTCGATTTGTACTATAAACTAATATTGCCGTTGGCTGTGTCCCTAATTAAGTAATTTCATGCGACTGTGTATGCATTATGCAATTAGTGGCTGTAAAATCCATGTTTTGTAGTGCCATAACTACGGATTTCATTTATTATAGTCAATATATATATCTATATATCAATAGTTATACACATCTATGTGCATATCATTCATCCAGCCTTTGGCATTTTCTTCCTAGCCACAATCAACGTTTTAATGCTTAGATTTTTTACTTCAGTTTTATAGATCCAGTTGTGTGTGTGTGTGTGTGTGTTTGTTTATGTTTACTGTGCAATTGATACTTTCCTTATAAATATCACGCTAATTGCATCATAAGTGGTATAACACCTTCAATATAGTTTAAATATGAGCTATAAATCTAAAGTACAAATTGTTTTTGATAAACAAAAATCCATTTTAGTTGTTTTACTTAAGTATAATTTTGAAAACTGAATTTAGGAAAGAGAAGAATGAGGTGTTGTTTAAAGTTTCTAACTTTTTACAAAATCAAAATGTTTGCATAGAAACAATATTATAAAAGTAAAGATAATAGTAAAGACTTCAATACTACATATATAGTATCGGATTATTTATTATAGATAAGGCAACATATCTTTAAGTTAATTCGACTACATTTTGTTAGTATTAAACTTATAACCCTAAACAACAAGGATGTGGATACAATATTAGAAGAAACGAATTCTAAACCACTTTTTTCTTCAAGCTTTGAAGTTTGACCAAATTTAAGAACTTAAGAATTTATATATCAATTTAAAGTATAAAAAAATGTTAAGAGACATATTGACATATTGCTTAGTTTGAGATAGTTCAAGAATTTTTCGAACTCTAAGCATAACACTTGAGGTAATTCCAGAGATTTTCGAACGATTTTCTAAGCAATTGGAACCGTTTTCATTAGGAGATAAAGTATAAGATATTCTAGCCAATGAAGCAGAACTGAGAAGATACCTTGGGCTTATATTTTAATTAAGAAAGACTCTAACTAAGCAAGACTTTAAATAAAAAAATATTAATTTTCCTAAGCGAGTTTAATGAAGTTATAAGTTTAATGACAACCCTAGCTATGTATTTTATATTTTCATATATAAAAGTTTCTTATTTATATAACTATTTTATATATCTTTATATCTATATCTATATTAAATATATATATATATTATATATATGTATATTTCAATTTAAAATATATTTTAAGATATCTTATAAAACAAAATTACGTTTTCTAGACAAGAATTTAGTTTGATTTGAACCAGGCCTTCAGTAGAAGAAGTTCAGCGGTTGTTCTTACTGTGAAGGTGATCTTATAAGCTACAAGAGAGAAGCTTAGCAAGAACTATATATTAGTTAAATAACCTTTGGCCCATTCGAGCCCGAAGCACTAGACATATTTTAAGGCAAAAATCTCTAGCTTCAAGAGCTCAAAAGATATTTTTGAAAATAAAAACGGTTTTGTTTACAAATGCTGGCCAATAAAGTAGAAGAGCCTCTTTTGGCCTAAACAAAAACAAAAAAGGTGGTCAACTCTAACTGTGGCTGGGCAGCCACAACAAAAAGTAACGGAAAATTGTTGCAAGTTACGAGAAGTCAGCCTTTGCCTGTTGCCATTTGTTTGGCCCTCCCCGATTGAGTAATCCGCCCAAGAGTACCCAGAATTCTCTAGGAGATTAGCGTAAAAAAGCGAATTCATTGATCGTTTAGAGGCGGCTGCAGAGCTATTTAGAGAGCGGCTCGCGCTGGCACGGTGAGCGCGAATAATTAGAAATGCATTCAGCCGACACAATGACAGCCTTTTACACAAACAGACCAGGCCGAATTGCTAGGGCAACAGCCGCTGGCCTCGCTGGCTGGACATATCTAAATGGCCATTGGTGTTGGGCAAACAAAAAACCCCTTAACGACAAGCACAAACAAACAAACAATTGAAGTTTTATGGGCCAAAAACAGGCAACAACTGGGTTCGAGGACAACAAACAGGGCGTATATTAGAGGGCATCATAAAGTTCGCACTGCGATTAGTCTGCCCGCAGCCCACTTTTTTTGGCAGTTCATCCAGAATTCTAGCGAAAGATCTATAGGCCATCTTGCTTTTTACCTTGCCGGCCAAGTCATGTAATATGGGCCATCATCACGTTTACCTGGAAGTCATTAGACGGAGCACAATCTGTCCATTTTTTGTTTAAATACCCCTCTCCTTTCTACCTTTTCTTTCGATCAGCCATTATCGTGAGTCAGCTCTGTAGCTCGTAAATTAGAATATGATCGTAAACAATGCACAACAAAAAAAGATTCGAAAAAAACGAACTTTTTAAAATGCAATTATGTTAATAAAACCATAAAGAAAGCGCCATAAAGCAGATCGGGCGAGAATGGATTGATATAGTCAAAGCAACAGCACTCTATATGTGACATATGTATATAATGATATATATGAGAGGGCTGTCTGAACAACTGTTTGACAAAATTACTTTTGTTTCATAACATGAATAATAGTTTTTTAAATCAAAAATTATAACCTTACACAATTTTTTAAATAACACAAATTTTTAATATATCTAATACACTTTTTCAAAAAATATAAAAAAAACTAGTTTCATGTTTGTTTTTTTTTTTAAGACTTAAGATATTGAAAATTGAATCTAAATAAGAAAATAATTTGAATATAAAAATATGTTATAAAAAAATATCTATCGATATATTTTTGTAAAAAAATATAATAAATGTAAGTTTTAGGTTTTATATAATAATCTTTTTATGTTATTATTTTATTTATTTATTTATTATTTATAAATGAAAAAATTATTATTTTCTAAATTTTAATAATTTGCACAATTCTTATATAATATATATTTATATAAATATAAAAACGTAAATAATATAATATAAATAATTTATTAAAATTAATAATTTAATTATTTTAAAACACTTTGAGAAAGGAATTCCATAAACTTTCCATACAAAATTCCTGTCTAAAAATCATCATATATATATTATTAATTTAAATAAATTTATTTTTAATTTTTTATTTTAATTACTTCTCTTCCTTTCAGTGAGCTGACACTTTTTAGACGACCCTCGTATATGCATATACATATATATTTGTATATAAATATATATATCTTCATATATATGAATGCCTATATAATTTGGATACATATTCAGCATTTGCCGTCGCTTCGCTTGATTGGATTGTCGTCTGTTGCTTTTGCCTCTCTTTTTTTCTGTCGCCTTTTTTTATAGCCATGACTCCGCGGCAAATGAGCCGAAAAAATGAACGCCCCTTGCCCCGAACCGCCTCACCGCGCTCCATCCCGCCCTCTGTGTCAAGCAAGTGCAATTAACGCCTTCATGTTTACCGCGATAAAATATCTTTGTTAATCAAACAAATTAAACAACGAAATCTTTTTCGTTTTCAAAAAGAAAAACCCCAAAAACAAATGTATTAAGTAAAATTTATTTTTGGATTTTTGGAAATTTGACCTGCGGAACTTCTTTATAAAACTGTATAGCAAGATAATTTAGAACTAATTGTTTTTTAATCTAATTTCCTAAAAAATATTCGCTAATGCGATTATTTTTTATGACTTAAGCCAAAAACTTTCAAATAATTTCTTTGATTGTGAGTAATTTATTTGACTAAGGCCAATTGCTGAGAATTGTTTATGCTGTTTATCACAGTCAAAGGAGTATATTGGTGCTGCGAAGTGTGCGGTTTCAAAGTGTACATAGTCTAGATAAAAGATAGAGGATGATCCGCTTACCAGATAAAAAGTAAATACAGTTATAGACAGAGTTCAAATAAGTAAAAATAAATATAAAAAGTTTATAGTTTGAACCTCTTTAATAATCTATAAGAACTAGTTGATTAGAGCGTAAGTCCCTGGGAGAGGACAAAAAGAAAAGGAACGGGATGAGAACAGAAACAATAAAAGAAGAGATGAGAGTGTACAGAGACAAGAGGCAATCGCTGTAGACGAGGTGAGATAGGTGTGACGGGAGGAACTCGCATACCACCTAAAAATCAAGAAAAATAAAGAAGAAAACTAAAAACAAAATCTTTAACCGCCTTAAGCCTCAGAGGCTCGCTTGCTCTATAACTGATTTTATTATTGTCTAATTGTTATAATAATAGTAATTTAATAATTGTAATTTAAAATCTTTCATTTAGCATTTAACTGAGCATGATTTGCGCTACAATCAAAGCGTATATCTGAAATTACTATAATGAGCCCAATAAAAAAACTTTGTATATATTTCAAATTGTTTAGCATTTTACGGGAATTTAATTCCTAAATTATAGAAAATTACATAATTACATGTTAAAATTTATTTTTTGTTACTCTCAAAATTTATGTGTTATTGCTCCATTTGCATAGTTACTTTATATTTATTATAAACTACATACGAATACATCGAATTAGCAAAAAAATAGTTTTTATATATAAATTAACAAATTGTTAAGTGAGAAAAACCATTTTAAAACGGGAGTCAAACTAAAATGCAACTTAAATTCAAATTAAATACAAAAGGAATCAAATATTATATTTAGTTTTTGTTTTTCTTTTTGTGCATCGAAAACGAAGTGCACAACAATTGACATAGTAC